TTGGTGGGTATGGATACAATCAACAATTTTGCCAAACCACACATGTCGAAGACAGTAAATTCAAACACTTTGCTCTCAGGAAATGAAGATTCATCAACTGACGAGGCGCAGCCGAAATGTTATGTGATGCATCCACAAGAAAACGAGCAAATGATCATGCTTCCGACGAAGCTGAGCATGCTTCCGACAAAGCTCCTCAATGAATCCTAAATACAAACACTAAATCAGTGGGTGTTTTGCAAAAACGCATGCAAAATCCCATGAGTGTCATCCTGATTCTCCAATAATTACGTGTGCTTCCGCTACCCAGGATCATCCAAAATTCAAGTGCATGATGTCTTTGACATCATGGTTTTGAACGCACACCCCAAAATCAAAAATACCAAACAAAACACCAACAATTTCCAACATGTAACAACACCTCCGCTAATGCCAAAACGCCTGCAGCTGGGAGTTGAACCGCGGGGGGGGGGTGGGAGAAGGCCAAGTCTTTTGCCAAAGCCTTGAGGGTTCTGAATGAGTTCAGCTTGCTGGGTGCGGTGGAGGTCTGGTATGACATCTGAAGGCAATACTGCCTGGGCTGAAGATCTGATGGCAAGAATGCCTCACCTCAAGGTCTGGTATAAGGATCTTTGAGGCAGGACTGCCTTGGCCAAAGCACAGGGGCTGCAAAGGCCACACAACTCCTTGTACAATAGTACAGGGCCTGAAAAGGCCATACAACACACCTCACTGCCTGCAAGAAGGCAAAAGGTAAAGGTCTTGCTGCTTTCCACTCCAGTTAGTGGAGTCAATGGTTCACTGGTTTCCTTTTAGGGCTGGACAGCACCAGTTGCTGCCCTTATCTCAGGGCTGGACAGCCCCAGCTATTTCAGATTCACTCAGGGCTGGACAGCCCTAGTTATTCCAATTCACTGCTCTTATCTCAAGGCTGGACAGCCCCAGTTATTCAAATTCACTGGCCTAGTTCAGGACTGGACAGTCCCAGTGGTTGGAATTCACTGGCCTCATCTCAGGGCTGGACAGCCCCAGGTATTCAAATTCCTTGTCTTCTCTCAGGATTGGAACACAAGTGTTGTTGCAATTTTGCCCTTTGCACAGGGTGTTTGTCTTTCAGGGCTGGACAGCCCCATGTTGTTTTTTCACCAAATTGTTTGTAGAATTCTGAAGAATCAAAAAAACTCACATGAGCTCACATGGGCACCCATGAGCGCACATGAGCGCACATGAGCACCCATGAGTTTCAAGCGTGTTTGTAATTTATATGTTACCAAAGGTTTTTGGAAGCGCAGCTATTGATTTGTTTATTGTAGCCTGCAGGATTTGCAGTTCAAGCACCTAGCACAAGATGGCCCCCAGTGCTTCCAAGATGAAAAAGCCAGTGGTGAAAACCATATTCCAAAGGCCAGCTGCTAGCATTTTGAAAAGGCCAGCTGCCAAACCCCAGCCAGAGACAGAAGTGTCTGACCACAGTGGGGTGGAAGAGGAAAGTGAGGAAGAAGAGCCAGCTATGATGGCAATGTGGCTGGGAAGCTCACCAAGAAAGCTGTGAAAGACCACAACCTGTTTTGTGAGCAGGTCAAGGGCATGAGCCCCAAGGAATTTGAAAAGGCCTTGGACAAATTAGACCCTGCTGCAACACAAAGGCTGTGGAAGCAATTCCAAGCTTCAAGAAAGGTTGAAGGAGAAGAAAAGACCTACCAAGAAGCAGTGCAGGGCAATGATGGTGGGCAGGCTGGAAGCCTTGCCAAGAAAAGAAAATTGCTGCACTGCTGGATCATGAGTGACAAAACCTGTGGAGACAGGTATCGGGAATATGTGCAGGAGGTCACCCTGAGCGAGGAGAAAGGGGTCAAAGAGAAATGGTTGACTCTGGTGCAAGCCTTGAACCACTGGGGGAAGGAGGAGTTGTGGGCCAGGGTGCAGGCTGGCACCATCTTGGCCAGAAAGAATCCCCTAGACACAAGGTACTCGGAGTTCAGGGCTTTGCAGCAGGTTGGCCTGACAAAGACCTCTCACGCGCATAAATCTTCCACTGGAGTCCGTGGGATGGTTGACAAGGCATGCCGGGAGAGCTTCTTCAACCAAGACTGGGGAGATGTGGTCGAAGATGACTGGAAGCTGGGAGCTGTGGATGATGAAGGAGGCCCAAATGAAGAAGGAGTGCACAAAGAGCTGGCTGAAGCCTTGGGAATCAAGGTGCCCAAGCCTTGAAAAAAGCCAAAAAGAGAAGATGTTTGGGAAACAACTTCTAAAATCACTGCAGCTGACAGCCACCAAGACATCTTTGACAAGGTGTGGAAGTTCAAAGCTGAGCTGGAGAAGGACATCAGCCAGCTGGACAGCAAAGAATATGAAGCCAAAAAAGCTGGCCTTGATGACAAAGAGCTGCTCAACAAGAAGAAGGCAGTGATGCCCAAGCTGCAGGCCAGTGGTGTTCTTAATACCCTTTGGGCTGGACAGCCCCTGCCCATCTGTTGTTTAAATTTGTTTGGGCTGGACAGCCCCAGTGTGCATGTGTGTATGTTTGCTCTGAATGTGCCTGGGATGCCTTCCAGGATGCCCTCACCTCCCTGACCACCTTGCTGAAGAAGCCCAAGTTCAAGACTGAAGTGGTGTCTGACTCGATGGGCAAGACCCTGCAAGCTTTGCAAGCATCAAAGCCAACCAAGGCCAGCCTGCAAAAGGCTTTGAAGAAGCCAGACTAGGTACTGCCATCGACTGCGGGTTTGCAGGTGATGAAAAAGATGTTTGTGTTTTGGGCTGGACAGCCCCAGTGTGCATTTGTTTTTTGGGCTGGGCAGCCCCTGCCACCTGTTAATGCTTAAAATGTGTTGGAGCTGGACTCCACCAGGCGCTAATTTTTGCATCTCATTGCCATCAGGGCTGGACAGCCCCAGCTTCAATGGGGCTGCCATTTTCTTAGTTCAAGCCTCCAGGGCCATTTTGACAAGGATGGCACCCAAGCCTCATGTTCTTAAAGTTTGGGCTGGATAGCCCCCATGCATGCATGCATGCATACAAGGGCATGCTCTTGGGCTGGAGAGCCCCTGTTCTCCATATATGTGATATGTGAGTTGGTGGTTTTGGATGCTCCAAAGCTTGGGGTGGGGACCCTTTCAACATGGCTGCTCGGTCCAAAAGAAGAAGGACTGGACAGCCCATGGCAGATGATAGCCATAGCCCTTTGTGGCTGCTGCTGATACAAAAGTTTGCCATTGGCCGCTTGACTGCTGTGGAAGTCCAGGAGCTGGCTGACTGTGCCATCAAAAGCCAGAATGCACTGCAAGGCCTTGGTGGGCATGGTTCCAGCCCACAGAACACTCACAGAGACCTCATGAAAAAATATTTCAGCCAGGTCAAGGCACCTAGCCAGAGGCTAGTTCCCTCAGAGATGAAGGGCAGAAATCATTCTGGTGAGCTCTTGCCGCAACCTGCAGCTGTGCCACATGAGTGGGTGGAGACCCTCGACCAGTGGCTAGACTGCATGGCTATATACGTAGTTTTTGTTCACAAGGCTCACTTTTCCCACTGTGTCACCCACACTTTTCCCTCTTCCTGCAGGAATGTATTGCTGGAATCTCTCACTGCCAGCAGAGAAGCGCTCCAGTCATGTTGGGCAAAGCAAAACAAACTTGGGCTGCTGGATAGCCCTTACTGGAGAAGCTTCAACTGGCAAGAGGAACTGCCAATTCCATGGGCTGTCCATGGAGATGGGGCCCCATACAGTGAGATAGACTCACTGAGGGTCATCTCCATGAGGTGCATGCTGAGTGATGTTAGTGCGCAGCACTCACAGCTTTTGCTGGCCAGTGTGCCTAAGTACCTAGCCTGTGAAATCAATCATTTTGCTTTTCTACTTCTAGATCAAGGCTGGATAGCCTTTCGGGTTGGATAGCATCAGTATATATAGTCCATCAGATAGTGTCAGTCATCCAATCATCCATGCGCCTGGCTTAGGCAAGCTACTGTGGACTCCACTTGGCAAACTCTTTGGGCAGACCTGACCATCCTTGCAAATGGTGGAGATGGCCATGGCAGGTTTGTCAGAAGAGGGGTGGTTTGGGTGATTTGTGGCGACTTGGAGTTCTTTTGCCATCGCACTGTGTCAGAATGACACGTCGGCTAATGGTCGGCCTTGTCGAGACAGTTGCAATGCCCTGAACACGATCACCATGTTGCATGGCTACATAGGTGGAGTTGAAGTTCACCTTGAGGGACTCGAGCAAGTTCAGGAAGGTCTCCCCGAAGTCACAGTGCGCACCCATAGAGCTCAACCAGAAGGCTGAAGTAGTCGAAGGTTGAAGTTCGTCTTGGAGTAGACCAGGGGGATCTCGAACATGTACATCGCCATGTTGCACTGGTCGCCCATGCACTGGACTTCTGTGTTGCTCTCCGAATCGTCCATCGGAACTTCGATGGGGTGCATCGGCATCTTCTGGCATTGTGGGCATAGCAACACTCCCAATGCTGGTCTTGTAGTGGCATCCAGGTTGGACCAACGAATCGTGCACAGATCGAAGTCGCACTTCCAAATCAGGTCCGGGAAGCTCCGTTCTGTTGTCAGGTGATGAAGTGTGCACGTCCCCCGTCGACATAGTGTGCATCGGACTGACAGAGCCTTGTAGTCCGTGGTGTCCATGGTCTCGTCCTCGTTGTCCCCAATGAACACCTGGAACGCTCGGAAGTCCTCCTCGGTCTTGCAGTCCAGCCATTCCTCCGTCTCTTCTTTCATCTGTGGTCTTGACTTGGCTGCGGTCATCTTGCTCTTGGCAGCCATAATCTTGGAGGAACTCTTTGCCGAAGGCGGTATTTAATGCCGATGTGCTCCCGGACGATGCTTGAGCAATTTCCGCTTTCTTGGTCTTTGTCTCCAGCTTCTTGGTTGCTGCATCGAAGAAAGCGCACTTGACGTACACCAGAGTGTCGTTCCAGTGTTGCAGATCTTGAAGAGGCGTTAGCGGCATCGTCTGCTCCTGTCCGCACTGATCGCAGCGGTGGTACGAACAGTGCTTGTTCGCTCCATGGGATGTCTTCCCATGAGTGCAGTGCGGAGAGGGTTCCAGCTCTGGGACCAGGTAGCGACCGCGGCCTCGGATGCAAGCTCGTGGACGAACTCTGTCTTCCTGGTGAGGAGTCAGCTTCAAACCGGGGTTGGACATCGTCGCATCGGCCTCCGCAATCATTGATTGCTCCTGCTGTGCAAGCGAGAAGGCTTGTTGCTCGAGCTGTTCTCGGCGCTTCTGAATTTCTCGAACTCGTCGGAGTTGAGGTTGGCGTGCCACTTCCATCATGGTCTGTTTGGCCACCAAGCCAACGTAGGCATAGAGCCGTAAGAGCAAGCGTCGCCACCGGACCCATGGTGGAGAACTCGAAGGCATGCGGAAGAGCGTGCTCCGACAAATGGGCTGTGTCGGAAGTCCACGCTTGGCTGTGGAAGCAGCGGTGATTCGCTGGCACAGTAAAACTAGGTCCAAACTCAACAATGCTCACTGCAACATGTCCAGTTGGTAACCGAATCATCTTTTGAGTGACCCCCAAAGCCATGTACAAGATGGTGGCAATTCTTCATATCGATAACCGCTTGGAGGTCTGACAAGAAGTATGCGGGAATGAGGAAAGGAATATCACCTGGCGCAACTTGTACTTTGAGGATTCCAGATTTGCCACCCAAGCCAATAGGGACATAGGCCAGTGATGTATGTTCCTCACTTCCACATACTCCACGAACCATACCACCAGGTTCATGTGACCATTGAACTCGGAGTTGGTGGTGCTGCTGCAACAAAATGTCATGCTGTTTCAACGTTTCTTCTCCAACAAGACCATGCTGTGCGGCGGTGTCAACGAGTGCAATACCAGGAGGTTTGGTGCTATGTAGTGCAAAACAGAAGCTCAAAAACGATGACTGCGCACCATATTCACCACGTTCAGAAGGTGAGCGGTTGGTGAGAAACTCCTGGCCAGCATTTTCAACGGCCATTGGATTCAAGAAAAAGCCAGTGGACATAGTCGAAGCTGCACTTGAGGCTTTCGACGTCGGACTGCGGCCACGCTGGGGGATTCTCTGCTCCAGTGACCAACTTGTCGACACTGGTGACACCTAGTCTTCGCCTTGAGGTCGGCGATGGAAAGCTTGCTTCCAGACCGTTGTTGCCATGGTCTATCATAGCCTCGGCTCATGCGAGACTGCTGCAGCATTCGGCGGTGCTCCAAGTAGCCGCCTTTTCCACCACCAAAGCCTTGCCCATAGGTTCTGGCTGAACCTTTGCCTTTGCCCTTTTTGCCTTTGCCCTTGCCCTTCTGGAAGGCAAGTCGATCACGGGTCTCGAGGAAGATCTCTTCGATGTTGTTGCCAATGGTGTCCAAGGCTTCAGTTTCATCCATCACCATGGGCAACTCCTGATGAAACACCATCTGTGCTTCCCAGGAATCATTCAAGCACACGAGGTCCGCGAAGAGGTCATCATCCTCACAGTTGTCACTGCCAGGCATGGCATATGTTTCAAACCCATCTCCATTCTCCCAAGGCTCATCATCAAAGCCTTCGCACTTCTCCAGCGTCGGGGTGCATGTCCATGACCGTGTTGGTCTCCTTGGTCATCAAGCTTATCACCAAAGACCTTTTGGATGGCGATCTCAATCTCCTTGTAGTCGATGGAGCCGTTCGTGACAACTTTCAATCGCTGCCTTTGATCTTGAGTGAAAGCTCCTTGCCTCAAGATCAAATGTCCAAGCAAATGACGGCCGGCTGCCGTCTCCAACAAGTCCAAGCCCTGCTTCTTGAGCTCGGCGAAGGCAGCTTTCTTTCCAGTCAAGAAGGAGGTCATGCTGGTGCCTCGGTCTCGACGCCCTTTGAAGATGGCATCATCGAAAGCCTGCTCAAGGCTTTGATCTCGAAGATATTCATGGGCCTCTTCGATGATCTTCACGATCGTGCGGTGACCATCATCCGCACAGATCTCATCCACCGTCAGGTGGCCAAGCAAAGCGCTGAGCTTTGAACCGAGCGGCACGGAGTCGATGATGCGCTTGCCAATGAGGTTGGCGGGAATCCTGGCTTCGGCCTCAACCATCCACAAACGAAGCTTGCGATGGTAGTCTTTATAGTTTTTCTCCGGGAGTTCTCCTCCCCAAACAGGTGCAGGGTCCATGCGGTAGTCGACATGACGACGTTCTGAGGGCTGAGCTTTTTCACTTGCCGCCTTAGGCGTGCCAGTTGCCTTTGGGGTACTTCTTCTTGAAGTCCTCTTCCACGGATCCTCATCCGCGAAAGGATCAGGTAGCTCAGGAAGTTCAGGAGGTCCAACATCGTGTAATGGAAGGCCTTCAGAAGGTCGTTCATGTTCATGACCAGCGTCTGGCGTAGTCGCTGGCGCGGGAGCCGCAGCAGCCGCTGAGGAGGTAGCCGGAGGGGTCGATGATGTAGTCCGGCCTGTCCAGGTCCGCGGTGGTCGCGGCTGGGCCATTGGCAGCCCAAACTCCTACCAAGGGAGGTAGGTCAGGTAGAAGATCACCTTGAAGGCGATGAGGTAGGTCGTAGACCTGAAGAAAGGAAGAAAACCTGAGTCCGGTCGACTCGTAGGGTGAAGTTTCCGTCGAAGGTGAAGAGGGCCTTCGCAAGGATCAGGATGAAGCCTTCTCAAGCGCCGGGGCGTCCCCCGGCAGGAAGGAAGTCGACCGGAGCCAGGATCGTCACCCTGGCTCCGCTACCACTGAAGAACTGCGGAATGGCGCAGCGGGTGCGGACTTTCGCTCGAAAGCGGCTCAAGGGCCCTGTGGCCAGTTGGTCAAACAGCGGCGGAAGCGACAGTTGGATCAGGGCTCAGGTGTTGGTTTCCGTTTCACACATATATATACTTATATATACCATCTATCTGATAGATAAACAACATACATACACTGATTATGCATTAAGCCGCAAATCTGCTACAGTAATCCAGTCGTGGGGCTGGAAAACCTTGGCTTTGGCCACAACCAGTTTACAAGTCCTCTACAAGCACACCCGAAGCCATGATGCCGCCAAAGTTGCAAAATACCATATGTGAGACCGCACGGTCTGGTACCTAGGCGGGGGTATGCTTGAGCCAAGAACACCCCAACAGCCTGGCGACTGCACGAGTCTTCGCATCCTCCTAGAAATTCAAAACTAGAACTGGCACCTGCAGCTCAAGCTTAGGCACAGCATTCCAACCTCCCAGGGTCCCCAAATACCAAACCTCATGGCAAGCTGGCAAGCATTGGTTCTGTGCATTGCATACACAACTACTTTCATGTGCGTTTGAATGGATGAGGGAGAGAAAGAGCGAGGGAGAGAAAGAGCCAGAGAGAGAGAGAGAGAGAGCCGATTCGGATTCAAAAGTGTAGTCCATGAAGCAACAAGAACTCCACAATGCCACAGTGCAAGCAACTGTCCAGGTGACAGCATCCCGTGCGTCTTCCTGGCCGGAACGTCCTTTCAAAAGGTTAACAGGCGCATGCTCCACATCACAGTGCGCACACTGCATGAATGAAAAAGCAACAGGCAGGAAGCAATACAAAAATGTTCATTTGTGCCGCATTTGCAGGATTCCCCTCCTCAGCTCGGCGGCAAGCTGCGATACGTCCATGTTGTGGCCAGTCCTCGTCTAGGAAAATCTCCAGGTGTGGCCGTGGCAGAACCTACGCAACGGAGCACCCCCTTGCAAAAACCAGCGCACAAAAAACGTGTACTGTGATGATGCTCTAAGGACAATAGTACATGTGCTCATTCGGCCTCAGCTGCTCGGTGTTCTTTGCTGACATCAGTTTGTCTCGAATGATTCAACACGATACTCCAGAATCTTCATGAACTGTCAAGAGGCCCAACATGGCCCAACCAAGTCAAATACACAAGAACTGTTACAGTATATCATGTTACATCAAACCCTCGCAGCATCACATTTAAAGAGATCGAATTGGCTTGCTAGGCCAGGTGTTCTTCTCTCCATTTATCTCCATATAAGTTCTGCAAGCAAGACTGAAAGAGGGCCTTTGCCCCGCCTGATCTTGGTCTAGAGAATTGTGAAGCCTCGAAGCGGGCAACAAAATATCTTGGATGTCTGCATTTCATAACGCAAACTCTCTCAATCTGATGTGCAAATGATCTCAGAAGTGCGAAACAAACATGAACACTGCTCGGTCTTAGAATGCCGGCACTCCATCTCACGTATACACCATGCCTGAGCCTGATCTCGTAGCGCCCAGTGCCGATGGCCTTAAGTACATGGATTACTTCAAACAACGAAAGGTATGATTGAATCACGCCCAATGTCACTCAAATGTACCATGGCCCTCTACACTAACCTTGCACTATTCACAAGCGTCCCTTTCACCTAAGGCTGTAGCATAGCCAAATTTGCCTTGGGCTTTGGGCCAGGTACAGGGCAAGAATATAGCAGAATGATATACAATCAATTATCTTCACCGTTGTTTACACCTTGATTTAAAAAGAACAGTCTGTGTGTCTCTACGTACGAACTATGTTTGGGACAAGCCACCGAGAAACTTCCACTGACTATCTTGATTTCCTGTTGGCCCACCAAAGGTCAGAGTCCCGGATTGCACCTTGCCTGCAGCAGCCACAAATTGGATTGTACAAGTTGTTAGTGTCCGTGATTTTGTAATTGCCAACTTGCGTGCTAAAGGGCACTCGACAGCCATGAAGCGCACTGCCAGCAGTCCCAGCACTAACTTGGAGAAATGGGTGCCTCAAGGGGTCACAATGTGCAGTTCAACACAGTTTCTCCGTGACACACCAGCCGTAATTCATGTCCAAAGGCTCCGGCGAACAGTCATGGTATGAAGCGCTTTTGCAGCAATTGCAAACGGCAAGGCTGCACTATGCGTTGGGCAACGCCCTTGTGCCGCCAAAGCTGTGGAGAGAATGCTGCTCTGGAAAAGGCCTGTTGTCGGTGTTCCTTAGACTCCTTAAACTGAATCTTCGGTACCCTTAAGAAAATGTACTATACACAAGCCCACAACAAATGACTATGCTGGGAGTATTTGACATTATATACTCATGCTGTTTTGCCTGGAAGCCAAGCCTACTGCATACATAGCCTGAAAACTTTAAGGTATATAATATAAGCTGTTGCAATTTTGCCCCCATAGCAATATTGATCATCCAAAAAGACATGTCATAGCTATCGGCGGTGGAATGTCAAAACAACGGACACTTGAAAAAATGATAAAGGGAACGTGCTATTATTATGTGCAAATTGGGTTCCCTTCTAAAGGGGCCCAAACACTGTTTCATCATTTCGACAAAGGATTCCAAAACCTTGTGGCCTGTGCTGTCATCTATGCTCTCTATTTGAGGAAACAATTCTAGCCAAAACATGCAGAAACCAACCAAAGCATCTATGTATGCATCCTCAGCACCCAGGAGTGGAGAGGAACGCAAAACTACCAAAACGCGCACTTCAAGTAGGAGTTGTCCAAAATGCACTTGTCTGAGAAAACACATCGCTCCTTGGGCGAACCTTGTGCGAACCAGGTGTTCAATCGTTTTACGTAATGTTATAAGTTATATATGTTGGTTTTTAGGACGTGACGACGTCCAACTTGTTTTGCACTGAGCGCATGCCTAAGCCGCTTTTTAAGCTAAGCTGTCTACTGAAAGGAACAGATTCTAAGTTGCCATCCAGTGGCGCCACCTCCCATCGCGCTACACGGGGAGGAATCAAAAGAATACAGTACCACAAATGTTCAGCTGGTCTTTGCCAGTCACAACTCAAATTGCACTTTTCATCGAGACAGGCTCGGGAATTGGAGAGAAACCATTCTGCTTGCTGAAGTGGTTGGTGTTATTCCCTTGGTAACATTGTGAGAATCCATGAGAACAGCAAATTGGGAGAGAGTCCCCCATAAGAAAAAGGTATCGAACTCAGGTCGCCTGAGGTTGGGACTGTAGAATTCCACTCCGAGAAACAATGTGCTGAGTCCAAACAATTCTCCAGCGATGTCGATTGTAGTCACATACGAGCTCCAATTCATTGCCGGATCAAGCAGCGACTGCAGGCTGGAAGATCGAGGAGACATGTTGTGGAGTTGAGGATAAAGGAAAAGCACCCATGTCGATGCAAACGTTTTTGGACGACAATGTCTTCAATGCTTTCAATTGTCCAATAAATTTCTCAACTGGTGGACGTGGGAAATGCGTTGATCAGCTCATGCAACCAACATCCAGTAGCCTTCCGCCACAAAATGTGGTAGTCTGTTCCAGGAAAGTTAATAACAGACTCACCAGTCCACATCATCTCCAACAAGTGACCCTTGGTGGCGCACACACACATTAACTTCAAGCAAATGCTGTCATTGTTCATAGTTCAAGCTAGTGGGATATGGAAAACTGGACGCGTCAGCATGATACCCTCCGCGTTCCATTGTGTCGGTTGGTGTAGTAAATCTTTGGAGGAGAGGCTTGAATGACATCAGGTGCAGCAGGAAGCCAACCCGCAACAGAGTACGGGCTCCAGGTACGGCATTTGGCTTTCTTTGGATCCATGATGTACCTCAGCTTCTGCCATTCCACTTTCTGTGCAGTACATCATCCCTCTGCGTCTCTATAGCTCCATCTCTCACCCTTCCCCTCTGTGCACTTACACAATCCGCTCCTGGAATGTGTCAAAGCCAAAAAGGGCTCCAGCTTTATCAGTTGTATCTGCGCAGTGGGTCTCATAACCATATCCGAGTCAGCATCAATATGACTTGTGATGGCATGGATTGAAATACTATGGTATGATTTTTAGGGTCTCTCAGCGCACTTTTTGATCGCGACTGGTGAGGGCGTCCCAAGAGCCCGTACTAGAAAGTCCTTCCTGGACCATTCGTTCCTGAAACTCTTAAGCCGTTCTTGGCCAACTCTTAGGCCGTTCTTGGCCATTTGCTCTGCCCCATGCAGGCAGGCTTGACAGATACCCCATGCAGGCATCTTCCTTTTCTTTTTATTTGCATCTAAGAACGCCCCCATGCAGGGCGAAGAGAAGGCTCATCCACGGTCCCGCCTGCCGGCACTTTGGTGACGTGAAGGTCGACATAAAGGATCCCAAGCTTTAATCAACTGCTTAGCGCGGTCCGGGAGGAGCAGGTCGGGGAGCTTAGAAACACCATCAGAGATATACATACGCGCCACACGATGACTTGTCCAACGTCCTTTCAACAATGCAATCTCCATGCTGCCGGTTGACTGCACTAGCCACGTTGCGCCCCCCTGAAAGCCTAAATGCTCAATCTTGAAGCGGCGAAGGTAAGAATTGAAGTGGGAGCGGAACGCCTGGCCACTAAAGCCCCAAAGAGGCTTGTCCAGCGCCGCATGTGTCACAAGCAGGTCATACAATGTTGAAATTAAAAGGACGACGAACTGTTCATCTGCTGTGACCATCTCTCGTCAGAGGCGTTCCGTGCCAGTCTTGGTATCCTTGAGTGAAACAACTAACTGATTGCTGTTGACCAACAAATCGCGACCCTTGAGGTTCAGCAACTCGCCAGTCCGAAGCAACGTGGAGAAGCCTAACGAGAGAAGGCTCACGAACACAATGTCATCATGACACAGAGCATAATATGCCATGCTCAAGTCAATTTCACGTGTCAGTGGAGGGGCCCTTGCGGGCCATTCAACTTCTTCCAATTTGCGAAAAGTTTCCAAGCTGAAGGAATTCGACGTCGAGTGAGGGGCTCAAAGAAATGCAAGCCAGAGAGGGCATTTCCCACTACATAAAGGCTTTCACCGTCTTCCCAGGCCAATTCAACCCACTCGGCGCACGCACTGTCCAATTCGCATTCGTTCTGCACATCCTCGATGAAGGGCAATAGCAAGCTCACTGCAACAAAATATGCAGCGCGGGTCTTGTCTGTAATGCCCGCGTCCCGCAAGGCTAGGCCTTTTCGAGCTTCCTTCCGCTCTCTACGAGTTCGTTTAAGTGCAGAACTTTGACGGCGACTCTCGGCATCTGTCGGGTTTTCGGTGGACTCTACATGGG